TCTAATTCTCCTCCAATCGGCGCCGCAAGCCTGGGAGGGGAGGAGAATTAGAGAGGCACCGGTGTGCTCAGTGGAGGAGGCGGAGTGGAGGTGAGCTGGGGCGGGCTCCCCAGGTGGGGTTAGCTGCAGAGGGGGTGTAGTTGCTGCGGGGGGGCTCCCCGGGTGGAGGAGGCGGCAGGCTCGGTTAGCTGCCGCGGCGGGCGGGGTTAGCTGCGTGCGGGGGGGGGGGGGAGGCTCCTCTGGTGGGGGAGTGGGGTTAGCTGGGTGGGGGGGTGGTGCAAGGTGGAAGTTTCGCGCTTAGGGCACGAAACTTCCTTGCACTGCCCCTGCTGTAGACATCCCAAAATGATTCATTTTGATTAAAGATGGATCAGAACCAAACCTCCAGATCCAAACAGCCCTAAACTTTAGAGAGTTTTGAATCCAAATCTGGATCCAGATCTGAATTTTGCAAATGAGCACCATCTTTATAATGGGGCAAACCAAATACAAACAGTATTTGTATTTTTAGTAACCCAAAAAAATCCAGAGAGAACTCAGATTTTGTGAAGGCTAAAATGAATTTTAAAACAGCTGAGGCAAAAGTAACTTATACTGTCTCCCAGCATTTCTGGGCACCACTACATTCCTAGCTTGGTTTTGTAGTTCACTTTGAAATTTGATGGGTACTTTTGACTTGTGATAAATTCTAAAGTGATTTTAGAAAGTAAAACTGTCATTTTCTAAAGTGTCTTTTGTTTATGGTGGCTCAGATTTTAGATGCCCAAATTGATACATTTAAATTCATTAGGCCACATCTTCAGCTGCTGTATATCAATGTAGCTCCATTGACTTCAATGGAGATATCCCAGTTTACATCAGCTGAGCATCTGGTCCACTATATCTTATGATTTCAGCTATTTTGACTCACACTCCAAAAGCAGCTTTGTTCTGAAACATATTTTCTCTTGCAGCTGATCCCTAAAGACTCTGAGTGCTTTGGAAATAGTGGTTTGTATTAACGGCCTGACAGGTGTAAGCGTACCTGTCAGTGATTAATATTTTGATCCCTGCATCAGCATCCTGCTGAAGACTTATAGATGTTGACTGATAGTCAACATATTTTAACATCTCTTCCAAAAAGAAATTGAATTCACATTTCCAAATTCACAGCTGCTCAACCAAGACACTGTGTGTGTAGATAAACATACCCCACTATAAAAGTGACTCACAATTTAAGATAATATTATTTCTGTAGAAACATGCACAAACTATATCTTGTGTTTTTATAGATGGGATGCCAGAGTTAGATAAAATGTTGCTAAACAAATATGCTGTATGTGGTATTCAGTTACTTGCCAAAGCATTGACATCTTGATTGCTTGTAACTGACTCTGTGAAGAAGTTTCATGTATCAGTGTAAGGCCATTTTGCACATAAGTGAACTGTGATTTTAAATTCAATATAGTTTTCTCCATACTCCATAGATTAATCTTGTCACGTGTGTGGAATGCGGTCATTGTTTAACAATGCCCAGGAATGCTACACAAGAGTTTAGGACAGGAAGTGAAGAGTACTTTATCCATTTGCAACTGCAGGGGAATATAACTAGGTAGAAGTGATCCTTATTGGTGTTGGCATTTGACCAGGACACCAGGGTAAGTTCCTTTTAAGAATCACAAGCAGTCAAATTAACCCTGTGTTAACGCTCTCATCTGAAACCTGTTTCCCCAACAGCATAGTGCTGTATAATGCCTCCAGGTTGGGATGCTGCTTTGCAGAGCAGAGGGAAGAGTGCTGCCTTCTTAGACTGGGATTTTTCACTGGGGCTTAAGGGAATCCCTTGCGAGTCAGTGGGAGTTGGGTGCCTAACTCCCTTAGCCCCTTTTGGAAATCCCAGCTCAAACAGCACCCCTGCAGCATCGGCTGTGGATATTCTTTGGACACATCTCCCCCAAGCACTGTTTGTGGCTGCTCAGCTGATGAGATCTGCCATGATCCTAGGAGATGGTGGTGCAGGTAGCATTCTGTTGCTCTTTGATATTGCACTGGGTGATACAGCTCTTTCTCCAGGAGTCCATGTGTCCTCTAACTGATGTGTTGCTTTTTCATCTCTTGGTGCTTTCCAAAGGATTAAAGGACTCTCTGGGGAGGAAGAGCTTAGAAGCCTTATGATAAAAACGGGGCTTTACTGTCAGATCTCTTGTGCACTTAGGACCCAATGCTGTGAGCTGCTGAGCATCCTCAACTCCCAGCAGAACCTAATAAATCAGCAGAGTTCTGACTTCAATAGGACATAGATCCCTAAGTCACTTGGGTGCTTTTGAAAATGTTACCCTTAGTCTCCCTGGCCCAGATCCTCCAAGGGTTTGGGGGTTAGGTGTCTAAATACCTTTGAGGAGCTGGTCCTTTTGCAGTTTGGGATAACAGTATTTCCTACATCACAGAAGGGTTGTGAGGATTAATACATTGAGGATGGTGAGATGTTATGGTGTTGGGGAGGTCCCTTAAATACAAGGGCAGGTAATTAGTTAATGTTTGTAAAGTGCTTTGAAAATGCAAAGAGCATATTACTACTGTGAACTAGATACCCCAGTGGTGGGTGCATTACATTTGCAGACAGGGATATTCTGCCAAGGGATCTTTGAAAATACAAAATGCATCTAGGTTGAAAATGTAGAGCCAGATCCTCAGCTGGTATAAATTGGGGTAGTTCCTTTAATGTCAATGGGGAGACTACACTGAAGATTTGGCCCTGGTAATGCCGATGGTAAGGGTTGCTGCAAACAATGACTCATAACTGTAAAGCTTTCAGAAAATGTGCTAACCATTCCCAGGCCCTGTGTAGGAGGCAGCACTGGTCTGAAGGAGAGAGCTGGGAGTAGTGGGGGGCGAGGATGTTGGGCGGGGGGGTTGGATGACAACCCAAATATTTTTGACAAAAACAGAAATGTTTTCCAACAAAATTTCCACTTAGTCAAAAAGCCATATTTGTCCCCCCCAAAATAAGTTGAAACAGAATAATAATATTATTATTATCTTGAAGTAAATAAGGAAAAACCCCAGTAACTGCAGTTGGAATGCGGGGGCTATAAATCCCAGGATTCTGGAGGATCAGTCTGGATAAGTGCCCAAAAGCTAGAATGTTCCTGCAAAATTGAGTTGGAAGTCTCATGAGAAGGGAAGGTCTCTCGGGAAAGATTTCTGCTACCTTTTGTGAAGAATGGGGCTGCAGCCCTAGTATTTGTGGCATTTCTGCTATTGGTTCGGGCACCTTTAATCATAATATGATCATGGATGGGCATCAAAAGACAAGATAATGAAACCAGTCTATACGGCAACAGCCCAAGTATTCAGTATCCCTAACCAAGAGTTCTAGGAAGATCCCAAAGCTATTGCCCCAGACACCCCACTCAATGAAAGAAACAAGCTCCAATCAATATAAAGACTGGGATGAAAAGAGAAGTAGGGGGCAAATCTAGAAAACAATGAGAACAAGAGAAGATGCATAAAAGCACCCAAGGATGAGCTGAACTCTGTTATTTGGGCAGGGTATAGTCCTGGTGCATAGCCTCTGGCTGCCGGTCTCCTCCATCACCCATGCTCACCTTGTAGTCCTTGGACCCGATTAACACCCCCACCCCCATATTAAACCATCTTTGGGTGAAACTTAGGGAGTTATATCCCCTGCTTTGGGGTTTTATACCCTCATGCTAGGGCTGAGGTTGGCAGCATTTTCCCCTAGCCCAGACAGCACCTGATTATCTGTTCTTACCTCCTTTATCTGGCTCATCTTCTGCTCCTTCTGCAAACTGCACACTTGCTTTTGGAGTCGCAGATTGTGCTCCTGCAGCTGCCCGATTTTCTCTATCAGCTGACAGATGTGTTCCAGATACCCCAGGCCAGAGCCAAGAGCCTTGGTGTTCCCTTGGTTCACCTGCAATGACAAAGTCATTCAGAGCACAGGCCAACAGTGGCAAAATCATTCCGAGCAGCTATTGCCCTACCTCTCCTGTTACAGTTTCACAGGCCATCAAAAATACACCTGGCGGGCAGTGTGGTTAAAATGAGAACTGGCCCAGGTCTTTATCCCAACCCCTAACCTTATCTTTCAGGTTAGAAAAAGTCTGTTTGGTTCACTTTTTTCAGCCCACGCTGCACCCCCATCTGTCTCCCCAGCAGTGCTAAGGTTTTCAATAACAACAAGGAGT